CTCAGCCAGCATCCTGGTGAGGAGCACTGGGAAGAGTCCAGACCTTGTTTAGTCCCCTTCCCAAGTCAAACCAGAAGACAGGCCCCACAGCTAAACCTACCCTCCAGAGGAACAGGAGACTGGGGCCGAATTCCAAAATTCCAGCATCCCAGGCAGCCGCTCAACTGCGAAGGTAGGAGTCTGGGGCCCTGGTGACACCAGGGGGTGTCTCCCTTAGAAGTCCCACACTTTCAGGAGCAGCTTTCCTGGTCAGGGAACCAAAATGTTACGGGTTCAAATAAGTGACAGCCACTATGATGTCTTGACATTTAGAAGAATCTTTATTCAGCTAGCTGGGCTAGCGAGAAATTAAAGATGTTTCCTTCATCGCAGCCCTGAGCGAACTTCTCAAGTTCACTCTTTAAGCTTCATCTTTAAGGCCGAAAAGCTCACTTACCACCAAGCATGAACAGAAGCACAAAGCAAATTGAATGGATCAATTGTCACTTCACGAAGAGTGAGCATGCATTACAAGGTACATTCCTTATCATAAAAGAAACTATACCAAAATTGACTATAACATCTTGGTTATCATGACATTAACTACATCATTTATATTACAACATCAAAAGAAACATTGTTGACAAATAATCAAACCAAATGATATATTGAAGAATAGTTGAAACTAATTGTAGTGTCCAGAACCTGGGAACATGGAGTACATTCTAAAATTAATCATCAGCAGACTTTCCCTTCAGGGGAGGGAGAACGGGCAGGTCAGCTTTCTGAGATGAGAGGGAGGAATGGGCAAGTCACTTAGTAGCTAACAAAAATGGAGTTTCTTGTGCTAGTCTGCCTCACCTATAGCACAGAGTAGAAGTGCCCTCTTGGGTTTCCAAGACTTTTTATTATTATGGGAGCTGGCAGCCCCATCTTTCTCCAAGCAACTGGGGAATTAGAACAGAGGGCATTGTGGGTAATAGTGTGCCACTAGGTTCTCTTAACACCCTGTATTTCTCCTTCATATGACTTGGCTCAACTGTAAATAGTTGGCCAGTTTATTGTACAAGACCTCAAAGTGTCAAAAAGCAAAGATGTTACTTTGAGGACTAAGGTGAATCTGATGGTATTTTCAATGGTCTTATATACGTATAAAACCTGGGCAATGACTAAGGAAGATGGAAGAAGAACGGATGCCTTTAAATTAAGATGTTGGCAAAGAATAGTGAATAAACAGTTGTATGAGCCCCTAATAAAAAGTTAAAAAAGAGGAAAAAAAAGAATAGTGAATATACTGTGGACTGCCAGATTTTTTGTCTTAATCAAGGATTTTTTTTAACTTCCCTTGTATGCAGAAGCATCCGCTGTCAAACCTTTATTCATTTGGCCAGTCCTATTTGCCTTCTCGTACCTGATCACCTGGCTTATTTATCTATGTATACACCTTTATTTGATTGTTATGACTGTGATTGTAGGATTGTGGAGGCCCAGTAACTTCTTCCAGGTGTGGTTTGGTTCTGTTTATCCTACTTTGGCTTCACTGAGTTTATTCTAAAAGGGGGAAACTATCAAATCTTTCGTCTCAGCAAACAGATGGCTTTCTTCACTTAGATGTTAGGGGGAGAAAAGTTCTAGCTTTCTTCATAAAATCTGAACAGCTACTCTAGATTGTTTCTGGTGCAAGGAGCTGGGGAAGGGGAGGAGAGGAACGGGGCATTACTACCAGAGTCCTCTCCACCTCCCAGCTCCTGGCCAGCTGGTTTCACAACGCGGAGTTGCTGAGTAACGAACAGCAGGCTTTTTCACCGTTCCAGACAGATTCGCTGTTGGCACACGGTGAGTTTCTCAATATGACAGAGAAACTTCCTGAATGGGATAGAAGAAGGGGAGCTTAATCCTACAATCAGTTGGCTGAGATTTGTACCAGTTTGGTACAGGAATCCTTTTGAGGACTTCCTCAAGTTCGGGAGAATATAGGCCAAAGCACACCCAGCCAAGAGCTCTGTGTGCCACGAGGTCAGAGAGAAACGTCGTCTGGGTTAGTCTGCTGCCTCTTGTCTTTTCTTGGGGACCTCTGCAGAAACTGATCAGAGGACGTCTTTGCAGGTGAGGGGGGAAAGCTCACAAAGCAGCGTCGTGCTAAGACTTTCTTCTCCTTTTCCTTCCATACTGAGGCAGTTTAATCAGAATGCTCTTGTTGGGTGCAAATGAGAAATGTCTGAGTGAATTTGTGCCGAGAATCCTGTTTGGGGAAAGGAAAACTGGTCAAATGGAGAAATCGGAACTTGGCATCTTCTGTGTTCAGGTTATAGGCTCCATCTGTATGTAAGATATTATTGATTAAATAAAGAAACGTAGTTTGTTGATTTTAATTGAATACATAAGTAATGGAGAGGCTTGGGGGGTCACTGGTGGTAGGCAGGTAAGAGAAAAATCTAATAGTCTCTGGAAGGGAGTATCATCTTTCAGGTGGCATTTATTTAGCACTTAATGTATAGATGTACCACACAAGCACCATCTTATTTCATTCTCCAGTAACATTCTAAGGTAGGCAGTTTTGTCCTTATATAATAATGACCAGGGAAATTATGTGCCCTGCTTAGAGTCAGAAAAGAAAGAGCTTCTCGTAGAGGAACTGAGATTAATTATTCAATTTAAACTATGTAACAAGAACTTTAGTTTTAAATATCACAACTCTAATGCTGCTATATTCTTTTGAAATTTTACCTTTGTCCTTTATATATGCTGTTCAAATATGTGCACAAAAAATCCCGGCTTGACCTCTAATATTTTTAATGTTTTCATGTTCTGTCTTTTGTAATACTCTCTCACATATTAACATTGCCTTCATGTTAATAGAACTTAAAGTAGTAGAATAACTATGGGTCCTTATCTCTGTCAATTATCTTCATTGAGAGATACTCAGATTGTGTCCAGTGCTTCCCTATCAACTAACGTTGCTATAAACTTTTAAACACAAGATATTTTCCTCACATATTTTCTTTAAATAAATAACAAATACTGGAATGTCAATGGTTTCTAATTGTGCTTCCGAAGGTTTTGCCCTTTTCAAATGCTGACAGCTCCAAAAGTGTCGGCTCCCTTGAGTGTGTTTGTAGCCAACTTCATTGGTCATTGCTGTCATGTGCCTCTAAATCAATCTCAACCCCTAGCAACCCCCTATGACAGATTAGAACTGTCCCTTAGGGTTTCCTAGGCTGAAATCTTTATGGGAGTCAATAGTCAGGTCTTTCTCCGACAGCGTGGCTGAGTGGGTTCCAACCAGCAATCTTTTGGTTAACAATTGCCTGCTTGCCCACGAAGTCACCAAGTCTTCTTCGACTGCATTTCCCCCTACCGTGGAGTCCGTGCTGGCTCCATGTTGGCTCATAGCTACCCTCTGGGTTTCCAAGACTCCAGTGTTGTAGGGAGTAGAAAGCCCAGGCTTTCTCCCTCAGGGCTGCTAGTGGATTTGAACCAGGCAGATCACAGCCCAACGCATCACCACTACACCACCAGGGCTCCATTCAACTGCATTTTGTGAGCATCAAATTTCTATTCTTCCCTGTGTGTGCAAGTGTCTATGTGAAGAAGGTTCCCCAAATGCACAGCCTTTTTTTCCTTAGCAATACATTAATAGTAAATTCTCAGTGACCTGGCATCAAGTTTCACTTTGTCCTTGTAACCTTCTTGTGAGCTGTCTCTATCTAGAATGCCCATTTAGCCTTCAGAAATGTTCTGCATATTTTACCTGAATACCTTCATGAATCATGGAGTAGCTGCTTCGGTTCTCAGCTGGTTTTTATTCAAAGAAAGTATCTGGTACTAATACCCACGCCCAACACACAGATAACGTGTATGCTGTTCTTGTTCAATTAATTTAAGTACAAAAAGCAACAAACCATTTTTATGTAAACGGTATTTCTGGAAAGAGACATCTGTGCTTTCTGCCAATCTTTTCTGAGGATTGATGAGGGGGGTTAGTAAACGAGGGATTGTGATGAAGGGCGGGTCATTATCTAGAACTGGAGTGTGTCTCTCTGGCCTGCAGCTGCCCTCATCCCTTCGTGTTTCTTGGTTCTGTTTCTAGGTTAAGATGTCTGCCAACATCCTCCACTTGCGGAGCTCACAGATGCTGCAGCTATTAGAGAAATCATTGAGGAAGAGCCTCCCTGAGTCCCTAAAGGTGAGAATGGAAAATCTGAAGGAAAGATGGGAATAGTAATTTCTGGTGGGAGTGGAAGGAGCCCTGGTGGCATAGTGGGTTATGTGTTTGATTGTCTGCTCCCATAGAGATGTATAGTCCTAGCATCCAGAAGAGGAGTTCTATGTCCTATAGGGACATGAGTTGGAACGGACTACGGCAGTGGATTTGGTTAGAGTTGGGAGAAGTGAGAACAAGAAAGGTCATCTGTGCAGTGACAAGCACTCGCTCATGCTGCATTTCATTTAGGCCACACCATTTCTCTGTAAAACATCGACCTGCCTGGGGTGTAGAAGAGAAAATTGAGGCTCAATTACAAATCTTAATCAAGATCCTATATTTACCACCAAAATAAAGCAGCAAGCCCTTTGTCACTGAATCATTTCTGACTCATGCAAACCCTATGTCAGAGTTTCTGAGGCTCCGCATCTTTACAGGAGCAAAGAGACTCATCTTTATCCCAAAGAGAGACTGGGGAGTTTGAGCCACCAACGTGTGGTGAGCAGCCTGATGCTGAAACCACAGTGCCACCGGGATCACTAATTGTTGCTGTGTGGTGCCAGCAAGTTCATTCCAGCCTTATGTACAACAGAAGGCAATGTGGCCAGGTCCTGTGCCACCCCCACAATTAATGATGTTTGAACCCAATATTGCAGCCACTGTTTCAGTCCATTTTGTCGAAAACCTTTCTCTGTTTAACTGCCCCGCTCTTTTACCAACATGATATCCTTCTCCAGGGAGTGGTCTCTTCTGATTATGGCTGAAGTACGTGAGACCAGTTCTCACCATCCTCACTTCTAGGGAGCCTTCTGGCTGTACTTCTTCCAAGACAAATTTGTTCTTTCGGATCCATGGTACTATCAATATTCTTCGCCAAAGATCACACATAATGACTGATCATGCTGTGATTTGAAACCTTTCATGCTCTTTGAGAAATTCTGCTGACTCAACCCATTCACTTGCTCCCTTCCAAGAAATGGCATAAGAGCAATAGATGTTTTCTCGGAATTACAAGGTTGACTAAAACTCGCACGTTCATGTTTAATTCATTCTCTCTAAACAGTCATCATGATTCTTCTCTGAAATTGATAACGGGGGCCAGCTTCTATATCTTGACAAACCTCAAAGGATTATATGGTTCTTTGGCTTGTTTTCAGAGAGAACGTTTAGAAATGGATTAATGATCTTGTACTATAGAGTACTAGGAATCCTGGAAGTATGTGATGGAATACAAGCTTCAAGGTCAGCAGTTTGGAATCACCAGCCTCTCCTTGGGAGCAAAATCAGACTTTCTCCTCCTGGAAAGAGTCAGAGCCTCAGAAACTCACAGGGGCAGTTCTACTGTCTTAGAGGGTTCCTTAACGGACTTGATGGCAGAGAGTGTGGTTTGGGGTTTCACAATAGAGTATTTTTACAGTATTCTAAGTTTCAAATAATGCTACCAGGGATAAAAAAAAAAAGCCATAGCCATATGATAATTTATCAATTAGTCAAGAAGGCATAAAAATGCTGAAAGCACATTACTTATCAACAGAGCTTCAAATGCATTAGGATAAAATGGAAAGAATAAATAGGCATACCCACAAATATAATTAAACACTTTAACACTCTTCTTTTAATGCTTTTTTTTTTTACTTAAGATTTTATTCTTTACAGTGAAGGTTTTTACACTAGGCTAGATTCCGATTCAGCAATTTCTACACAAATTGTTCAGTGATACTGGTTATGTTTTCTACGTTGTTTTCATTCTGGTTGCTCCATTTTCATCCATCTAGTTTCCCTGGTCTCTTACATGCTCACAGAGGTGTAATTGTCTTACATAGGTGAGGTTTTTTATTTTTTATTTTCTCAATTTTAGTGACATATAATTCACATGTCATACAGTTCAATAATTTAAATATATTAAAGAGAGATCTGAAATTGTCACCACAATCAATTTTTGAACATTTTTTTCTTTCTTGTACTCACTGCTATTAGTTCCTATTCCCCCACCACACCTCCCCTGTCTTAATCCCAAGAAGCTATTAATCCAGTTACTGTCTCTATGGATTTACCCATCCTAGATTTCATGTAGAGAAACATATAACAAAAAGCAGAAAGCAAAAAATTATAACCAGGAAATAAAACATAGAAAAGTATAAATTGAAAAGATAATAGAAAACAATAAAAATTAGAAAATATTTTAAATGGATCAAAAGGAAGAACAAATGATAAGGTGTTAAATTGTATTTCTGCAACAGTCCACTTTCCAAAGCACTATGTCTGATAGTAAAGCTATCCACATCCCTAAACAAAACTATCAACCAACTGGGCCTATGGGCCAAAAAAAAAAAATATCCATCTCCCCCAAAAGAGAAGAAAGGATAAGGACCATTTACCCAAATAGACCAGATTTAAGAATTTTCAAATGCTCTAAAATCATACCATATATTTTCTAGAACCATAATGGCATTCAACTTATATAAAATCTAAAGATCTGGAAAATCTCAAAATATTTAGTGACCATACAACATGCTGCTGCTGCTGTTGTTATTGTTAGGTGCCAGCGACTCAGAGCTGACTCATAGCAACCCTATGTAAACAGGAGGCAACACAGCCAGGTCCCGTGCCTTTCCCACAATTGTTCTGAGGCTTGAGGCCCTCAGTGGATCCACGGTTGCAATCCATCTTGTCAAAGAGCTTCCATTTGTGTGCTGCCCCTCTACTCGACCAAGCGTGAAGCCCTTCTCCAGGGACTGGATTCCTCACATGTCCGAAGTATGTCAGATGACGTCTCGCCATCTTTGCTTCGAAGGAGCATGCTGCCTGTACTTCTTCCAAGACAGATTTGGTTTTTCTTTAAGCAGTCCAGGGTACTTTCAGTAGTCTTCCCCAGCACCATCATCCAAATACATCAATGCTTCTCCAGTGTACCTTAATCAATGCCCAGCTTTCACATGCCTGAGTGTTGCTGGAGGTGCCCTGGGGTCGGCCCTACGCCCAACAGAGTGAAACCCTGCGTGGTCCCGCAGCATCCTCACCGTCGGTCCTCTGCCTGAGTCCATGGCTGCAGCCACGGTGTCAGTCCACCTCCGTGAGGCTCTTCCCCTTTTTTGCTGCCCCTCCACTTTACCACATGTGATGTCTTTCACCTGGTTATCTCCAGACAATGTGTCCAAAGTCTGTAAGACAAAGTCTTGCTGTCCTCGCCTCTAAGGAGCACTCTGGCCATACTTTTTTCAGGACAGCCTGGTTTGTCCTTTTAGCCGTCAGTGGTCATTTCAATATTCTTCTCCAGCACCACGGTTCAAGTGCATCAATTCCTCTTCAGTCTTCCTTGTTCATTGTCCAACTTCCCCAGGTGCATGACTCTTGAAAATACCGTGACTTGGGTCAGGTGCACCTTAGTCCTCCATGTAATATTCTTGCTTTTCAACACTTTAAAAGAGGTCTTGTGCAGCAGGTTGACCCAATGCAATGCATCAGTTGATCTCTTAACTGCTGCTTTTATGAGCTTTGATTCCATTAATCCAAGTAAGACGAAATGCCTGACACCTTCAGTCTTTTCTTTTTATCATTGTACAATATACTTTCAAATGTTTCATGTGTCAGAGTAACAAGTGAAATAGGAAATTAGCATAACTCAATAAATCAAAGTGTGTGGTACAGCTAAAGGAATCAATGGAAATTTTACACCATTAAATGCTTACTCTAAGCAAGAACCATCGCAAACCAGTGATTTAAGTTTCAACACTAGGATATCAGCAACGAGGAGGAAATGAACCCTAAAGCAAGTAGAAATAAATAAATAAATTATAAAAGATAATAGTAGGAGTCAATGGAGTTAAAAGAAGAAAAACAGTAAAAATCAGCTAATCCAAAATTTTTCCTGTGTGGGCTCAGGAAAGCATTACTCTTTCCTCATTGATATATGAGAAGGTTCACAGATTATGGTCAAGTAGGGAAACTCCAAGCCTTGAAATTCTGATTATTTTGGAGTTCCTTTACATAGGCATGACTGATTGGTTGACCGTGCAACTAATATCAATCTCCAAGTTATCTGATATCTATGACTCAAATCCTTCACCCTAAATTGCCTTGTTTCTTTCTGGTATAGACAGTCCCTACCCTAAACCATGTTAGACTATGCAATGTTGTCTAACGCAAAAAGACACGTTCCTATCAGTACTAAGGGTTGCAATATTATCTCCCAGATGCCAAGAGCAAAGCCCAGGCCTCCTTTAACTCACTGCCATGGGATCAATGCTGACTCATAGTGAGTCCCTGTGGGATTCCAAGACTAACTGTTTCCTGAAGTAGAAAGCCCAGTCTTTCCCCTGCAGACCTGCTGGTGGTTTTGAACTGCCTGCCAGGCCGATGGCAGCCCAATGCATAACCACTACACCGCCAAGCCTTTTTGGGGGCAGGGATGGCAAAACTTCATCTCCCCTACTTTGGATGTGTTATCAGGAAGACCAGATCATGAAAAAGGAGCCCTGGCAATGAAGTGGCTGCTAACTTCAAGGTCAGCCGTTTGAAACCACTAGCTGCTCTGTGGGAGAAAGACAGGGCTTTCTACTCCCATAAAGAGTTATACTCTCAGAAACTCAAGGGGGGAGTTCTACCCTGTCCTATAGGGTCTATATGAGTTGACATTGAATTGATGGCAGTGAGAGACTTGGGAAAGTGGAAGGTGAGCCAAAAAGAGGAAGCCTATCAAGTGGATGACTGACACTTTGATTGCAATAATGGGTTTGAAAATAATGATTGTAAGATGGCCCAGGACCAGACAATATTTAGTTCTGTTGTACAGACAGCACTTAACAACAACAACAACAACAATAACAATGAATTTCTTATTACACAAAATCCTTCTGTATAATCAGTGTTATTTAATCATTACACATTGTGTAGGTTTATGTTAATTAAAATTTTAACATGCCTTAAACATAGTATGTTTGGGGAAAACATGTTAAAATAGTATAACCCACTCTCATTATTGAGTCTATTTTGACTCAGAGACCCTAGAGGGTAGAATAAACAGTTCTGTAGGGGTTTCAAGACTGTAAATCTAAGGAAGCAGATTGCTTCATCTGTCTTCCAAGGAGCAGCTGGTGAGGTTTGGAAGACAGTCGAGAGGTGCCAGAAACCAAATCAGGCGAATTAGAACAAACAGGCTTTATTGGGGAGAAAAACCCAGCCTGGGCGAAGTCCCACAGTCCACAGTGTCTGGGCCGGAGGAGTCCCGCCCCAGGCTACAGGGGTGGTACCTATATGGCCAGGGAACATGTGACTGGGCTGTCTTGAGTCCATATAAGATAAAGTAGTCAGGGATTGGGAGATACAGGTATGTCCGGGTTTCTGGAATGTAAGGTGTCTCCTTGGTTCCCGGGGTATTCGTGCTGGGTGCAGAGCGGTGGGCCGAGAACAAAGCGGGCACTGAGCCAAACGGATTCTGCCGGGTGAGGAGCGGTGGGTCAAGAATAAAGCGGGCCTTTAGCCAGCTCTGGTCAGCTCCGCACGGGTGGGGGAGATTGAAGGTCACTTGCTGCTAGAAGCCGGCCTGGTATTGATCCAGCCCTACAAGGTTGAACCACTGACCTTTCGGTGAGCAGCTCAATGCTTACCCCACTGTTCCATGAGAGCTTCTTTAAAATAGAATCTATTGGGTAGTTTCATTATTTAAAAAATATTTGCGTTGTATACATAAATGATAAATAAGAGAAAGATACAACATTAAACCCTACAAGGTGAGAGTGAAATTTATTTACTTTTATTATCTATCTGAACATTTAGAAATACTTATGTAACATTATCATGGTTTGGCCCAAATGTCTATTTCTACGTGACGTAATAAAGTAGAACCCTGAAGACTGTTTGAATGACTTGGCTTTTAGAGTGTCTTCCCTGATTTCCTGTAAATAAGCCTTGTTCTGATCAAACACTTTTTGGGGGGTGCTGCAGGTTTACGGGACCATATTCCACATGAACCAGGGAAACCCTTTTAAACTCAAGGCGCTAGTGGACAAATGGCCAGATTATAATGCAGTGGTTGTCCGCCCGGAAGAACAGGTAAGATACTAGATGTGGAATGAATGTGCTTCCATGTTTCTATTTGCTGTGTGCCTAACTTGTACCTGCAATATGCTAGACCCAGGGGCTACAGGGATTAATTAAGGAGACAGGGAAACAAGCTTTGGTCTTCAAGAAGTTCGCTATGCTCCGGGAAATAAGTCAAATACAAAAGGACAAATAGGGTATGAAAAAAATATTATTAAAAGGCAGGAAGATATTTTCACACCAAAAGAAAAAACAACAACCATTATTTGATGGTTATCAGGTGGGGAAGGGAAAGGAAGAGAGGATAATTTACTGTCTTTTTAAAAAAATCATTTTATTGGGGGCTCATACAACTCTTATCATAATCCAGACATACATCAATTGTGTGAAGCACATTTGTACATTCGTTGCCCTCATCATTCTCAAAACATTTGCTCTCCACCTAAGCCCCTGGCATCAGCTCCTCATTTTCCCCCCTCCTTTCCCATTCCCCCCTCCCTCATGAATCCTTGATAATTTATAAATTATTATTTTGTCATATCTTGCCCTGTCTGATGTCTCCCTTCACCCACTTTTCTGTTGTCAATCCCCCAGGGAGAAGGTTATATGTAGATCCCTGTAATTGATTCCCCCTTTCTACCTCACCCTCCCTCCATCCTCCCGGTATCGCACCACTAATGTACTGTCTCGAGTGAAAGAGAAGGCAATATACAATAAGAGGAATGTAAGCAACAAAGGATGAGGGCCAAGAAATACACTAGGAGCTGTAAAGACTTAAAAGCAACAGCAATAGCTACTATTATGTATACAAGCCTGCAATAACAATAATCTGTGAGTGTATGCATAGATACATAATAAAGCTGAACAGGTGTGGGGAGGAGAATGGGATTTATGAACATATACAGATTTGACCAAAGATATTTCTATAGGTGCATTTACCTACAATGCCAATATATCCAAGAATGTAGGAGGACATACAGGAGACAAAGTTAGGAAAACTTCTTAGCAATATCTTCAGGGAATGAGACAGTGGGCCTGGGAGCTCAGGATCATAGGCCCAGGGGACATCATGTCACTTGGCATAACATAAGTCACCAAGACAATGTTCTAGAGACTGCTTTGGTGAATAGCAACTGGTGGTGGCCAACCCTGCCTTTACAGGCTCCTTAGGTGGGCTGCTGTGAGGAGGGACCTGGAATCCTCTCCAGGCAGAGGGTGGGTGCTGGCCTGACTACCTATTAGTCATTCGCTTTGCTTTCTTGTTCATTTGTTTGTGTTTAGTTTATGCTGATTCCCCCCGCCCCTGGATAAATCACCCTTTAGAAGACAGAAAAATAAAACATAAAACATTCATTTTTGAATGGAAAGATGGGAAGAGGTACATTAAAGAGCTAAAGAGCAATTGTTGGTCTATCCCATTCGGGAGCAAAGAAGAGTGCAAGCAATGGAGGACACGTGGAAACAACTAGACTAATGGAGCACATGAACATCAGCGTCTAAGGTCCTGGGGCCAGAACTAGAAGATCGCTAGCTACTGCAATCACCTGCTCTGGAAGGGATCACGTTAGGCGGTTGTGGATATCCTGGGAGAAACATGGGGAACAAACCCCATAATCATAAAAGTTACAGGGCTTTGGGGTTAGACTGAGACTGTGGAACCCCCAGACTATAATTCTTGGTCACCCTTCAGTTCTGAAATGGAAATTATCCCATGATTCCATTTTACCCCAACTATAGCCAAGTCAATAAACTGAATCATAACTTTAGAGGGTAACACACTCGTCTGAATCACCAACCATTTGAGACCAAAAGGACAGCATTTGCCAAATGATAAAGTTCAGAAGGCAGGAATGGGTAGAAAAGTAGGAAAAGAAATGGGAAACAGAGCGAGGAAATGAGAGCAGTGGGGATTTCAATCAATGATTTGAAACAAAATGTGCATGAACTAACAATTGGAAAACTGATATGTCCTGTAAACCTTGGACCAAGTCACAGTGTTAAAGTTTTTTAAAAGTTCGCAGCCTAAAGAAAATAGGCAAATAAGTTACAGCATGCTGTGAGATATGCAGAACAGAAAATGTGAGCGATAAGAATTAGCCCAGGCGAAAGCTGATGAAAAGTGCACGTGATGAAGGTTACATGAGAGGATTAGACAAATTTTGGTGGAAATATCAGACTTTGGTTCTATAGTTAAATATGCTTTGGTCAGACTGAAAAGGAAAAGAGTATTTTAACAAGAGAATGTAAAGAGAGCAGTTATTGCTGAAGGTATGAGTACAATAGAAAAATAATGTGAAGAAATCAGATGGTGCCTGGTTATGAGAAAAAAATAAGTCTGGGAGTTTAAAGATTTGTCTTAAAATAAGCAACTATCTAAGCGAAGTGTAAGCTGGGTCCACACAGAAGGAGCACACCAGCCCATATGATTATAAATAATACAACCTAAGATCAGAGGAGAGGATTGTATTAGAGCTTAAAATCTGAGCCCCCGGTTTGCAGAAGGCTATGCATAACAAAAGAAAGCCCAATTCCATTGTGGGCTCCCCTCAGGGATTAAGTCTCTATTGAATTCTTTCAGACCCTTGACCAGATGTGAATATCTTGTCCTCAAACCAAGTGCATTGCAAAGTGGATTACTGAAGATTTAGGTTAAAATTTAACATATTATCATCTGTTTTCCCTTTTGACCCATTTTAAGTTGTTTTAGTTTCTATTATCTTTTACTTTCTCTTGGATTGAGGTTTACCTGTGTTTTATTTTATTGTTGTTGGGGTGGGGGCTTTTGTATGATTTTTTTTATATGGAATCCAGGATAGATAAATCTATAGTGCTAGTAATTAGATTAATAGTTCCATAGAGTTAAGGCAGGGAGCTTGAGGAGTAATAGAGAGTTAATAATAATGAGTACAAAAATGAAAAGAAAAATCGAAAATTCTTTTTAGTATATTTAACCATTAAATTATAGGTACATGAATTAAATGTCAATAAAACTATTAAATATTTATACATACATGTATTAAAAAAGCAATTATCTGAAGGTGTGAAACAGTCCACTGAGTTAGGATGACTATGAAGAACAGAATGATGAAGTTAGAATTTCTATATGCATTTTAGACTAATATCCAGAGTGATAAAACGAAATTGCTTCTTGTGCCTGACCATATTGTGCACTTGCGAAGCACAGAAATTACCGTGATGGTGTTGATCCGCAAGAAACTCTGCCTTGGGAGGCACAGAGATAAGCAGACTAAGCACATATGGAGGGAAAGCGTGCAAGGACCTAAGAACATACAAGATTCAGAAAGGTCACTGCCAAGGAAATACGCAAACACACAGACTTTGGAAGATGCAGAGAAAAAATACCCAAAAGTTTTCCCGGTAGATGTTTCACCAAAACTGGAATTCGATGATAAATTGACTTTGAAAAGGCTTACAATGGAATTAAGGCTTAAAAAGGCTAAGGAAGTACATCCTTAGCCGAGGAAATAACACACACAAAATGCCTAAAAGTGTGAAACAGTATTAAATAAAAGGTAAAGTGCAACCCACAATGCTTGCTTTGTATTTGGGGCATATGTTCAGGACCAAGATTTTTTAAATCACCTAAATTATATTGGAAATACAAGATGTAAAGTAAAAATCTATACATGCTAATATGTATAGTACCTTTTTGATATGTTGTTAAAAGTAAATCAATATACTGCTTTTAAAGAACGAATAATAAGGATAGAGATTTTATTTACTGGTTAAAATCTAAAATTTAATTAGTTTTAAACCTAATTTTTAAAATAGAGATTATCATAGTCATTGCTGAGTTATGAGTGCATTTCTTTACTAAATTTTCTAGTTATAATATTTTTTATTGAATAGTTGCCCCATGGCGCTTTCCTTCTTCAAATAATTCTAGTTCTGGTTTGATAACTTTAAAAAGGTCCTTTGGAACAAGTCTGTCTTTTGATTTTGCTGGGAATGTGAAACGAAAAAAATCAAGAGTATATTGTCATTTTCATTTTAACACAACAAGAGTCTTCATTTCCTTCAATTTCATCACAGATGTATTAAGGTCTTACTATAAGATTACCTGTATAAATTTCAATTCATTGGTTCATAATTCATTTTTCCCAAACTCTTTGAAATAGAGTAAGATTTACTCTTGTAACCAAAATTTCCTGATCAATAATTTTCTACTATCTTTAGGATCATGGTATTAAATAAAGCTTTATTAACCAGTATGTCTTTGGTTGATCTGAAATTAAATGTAACCTATAAGTATCTTGTTCAACAAATTTTATTTATAATAAAAGATCAGCTGAAGCCCTGCCTTAATCCTACGCAGTCGAAAAGATAGACATAGTGAGAATATAGCAAAAAAACCAAATTTAGTATATAAAATAGGACTGTATAATTGAATACTAAACACTAGCATTGCAATCATTGGGTATAAACAAATTTATTTATTTCCCTTTGTCCGACAAAACAGGAAATGACAGATAACTCTGATCACTACACCAACACTTACCAAATCTATTCTAAGGATCCCAAGAACTGCCAAGAATTCCTTGGCATCTCAGAAGTCATCAACTGGAAACAGCATTTGCAGATCCAAAGTAAGGCGATTGAGATGTGTGTTGGCTGCTGGGCCCTCGTATTTGCCTCTGTAGGGGTCACTTTTAACCCAAGCACCTTTCCCTAAAACAGTGGTTCTCAACCTTCCTCATGCTGCGACCTTTTAATACAGTTTCTCACGTGGTGGTGACCCCCAACCATAAAATTATTTTTGTTGCTACTTCATCACTGTCATTGTGCTACTGTTATGAAGCGGGAGACCCCTGTGAAAGGGTCACTCGACCCCCAAAGAGGTTCCGACCCACAGGTTGAGAACCGCTGCCCTAAGAGGTTTTCCTCCTTCACCAAATCCTCGACTCAGCCTGATATCCATTTCTTGTATCAGCCGTCACTGCCTCCTCAGAGGATAACTTAAAGTCTGTCAATGAAGGGGTTGATAAAAGAAGCTGTGAGCTGTATGCTTTCTTGGTATTCGCGAGCTCATGAGATATATTTTACACACATATCCAAGATATCTTTGGGGGGTTGCATGTGGAAGAAGAGATTCCCTTTTGGCCGCCTGTGCCTGGAATAAAAATGTTAATGTGGCACAAAGCGTTTCCATGTCAGCAAAGATGATTGCTGGGGTTACAAACATGCCCCCCAGAGTCAGGCTCCCCAAGGTGGCCCCTTTGCCCTGCTCTTTTCTTGTGTGATCTTGAACAAGTGATTTACATGTAACTTCGTTTCCTTCTATGTAAAAGTGAGAATAATGAAAATGCTTATAATATAGGGCCCCTATAAGGATTGGTTAAAGGAGATCCTAATGGTGTATAAAGTTGGCTACTATTTTTTAAAATGTCATGTTTCTGTTGAGTTTACAACAATTTTGTCAAGCTTTCCCTTGTTATCTTGGGATTCCCAGAAAAGAAAACATGCTCAGTGTACAGTAACTCAGCCATGGTCACAAAGTTAATAGCACTTGCCGCATTGGAAGCAATATTTTGACTCCAAATTCTATACGCTTCTGTGGAACACCTTCCGGGAGCATGGATGTGGACAATCACAGCTGTCTTCACTTGAATGCTTTCTAGGTTCACAGTCCAGTCTGGATGAAGTGATACAAAATCTTGCATCCACTAAATCGGTTAAGGTCAAGAGAACACAATGCATTCTTTATATGATGCCTGAAACCGTGAAGACCTTGGTTCCCTCCCTGCTACAGGCAAAAAACTTATCTCCTGAGACGAGAAGACCCAAACCCATGTGAGTATGATCAAAGCCACGCAGATCTCTCACGAAACATGCAGTCTCTCCACTTCTCACCCAGCCTTGACTGGTCTCCCTACAATTCGTTTTCTGCATAGGAACCGGGGTGGTCTTTTTACTGCCTGATGCATATTTTGTTGTTTACCTGCTTATAAAACTCCAGTGCCTCTCGACTCACCTTCAGTAAAATCCAGACACCTTTAGGTGCTTTGAGAGCCCATCAGGACTAGAGAGCCAGCACCACTTGGATCTCCTCTAATCTGCCTTTCTCACTTCCCCCGAAGGCTCTGGTCTGCTTTCTGTTACTAGATGCCCATTGAACTCCATCATGCCTTCGGGCTTTCAAACAGCCTTTGCTCTCCTGGCTATCATGCCTTATCACTGATAAAAACTCAATGGACCCTTACTGTTCAGACTTTCCGAGATCATTCTTCAAAACATCTTCTTAAAGCACACTATGTGAAGTTACCTCTTTCCAGAACTCTTGATTACATGACCCACTTTGACTTCCTTTATGACATTTATCATTATCAGACACCAACTATTTCTATATTTATCTACTTCTGTGCTGTTTGAAATCTTCTCCATGATATTACAAACCCATGGGAGGAGAAAACGTCTACTTGTTGATATATCCTCAATATACTCATCTATTGATATATGCTCAATAGCTAGAATAGTGTGTCCAGCACATAGCAAATGTTTAATGAGGTTGTGCTGAATAAATTCACTTCACAGAACAAAAGGTTTCCAACTGAGATTTTAATTCACTTATACGTATCCCAATGCTCTTAATTGACTTCCAGCCTAAAGCTTCATACAACTAAGAGTTGGTGGTGGCATTGGATTTAGATATGCTCAATCCCAGGGCCCTCCCATAGATATGCTTGGAAGAGCTTTATTCACTTATATATTTGCAGCATGAACAGCAGTATGCAGCTATAATCTCATTAGGTTCTTCTGTTCACCTGTAAAATAGGGTAAAAGCATTATTCCCATTATCCTGGCATAAAGGAGGTTCAGGTGATAAAGCAGCTCCTTCAAGTTCAGGTGGAGGGGTATTCGCATAAATGGAGTTTAAGTCTAGATCATTGCTTCCCAAAGTAGGTGATGCCTTCCCTTGGTGGAACTGCAATGATCCAGAGTGGAAGCAAACTAATATAGGAAGAAAGTTTTTAGTTGCCAAGGGCACAGTGACTAATTTTTTCTCCCCCTGAAAATGGGGAAGTAGGCCAAATTAATTTGGGAACCCAAAAAGTATTAGCCAAAGTCAAGGCTGCAGGAACTGATGTAATAACAACTGAAATGGTTACAACACACTAATGATGCACTGGAAGCACTCACTTGTCTCTGCCAGGAAATTTGGAAAACAGCTATTGGTCAACTAATTGGGGAAGATCCATATATGTGCCCATTCCAAAGAAAGGTGACCCAAGTTTGAGAATGCTGTAACTATGGATCAAGGTAATTGATGGAGCATCCAAGTAAAATCTTGCTGAAGATCACCCAACAGTAGTTGCAGCCATATATTAACAGGGAACTTGAGGTTCAGGCCGGATTCAGAAGAGGATGTGGAACAAGGGATAGATGCTAGATGGATCTTGACTCAAAGTAGAGAATACCACAAAGATATTTTATTGATTATGCCAAAGCATTTGACTGTACGGACCATCATGAACTATGGATATTCTTGACAAGAATGGGAATTCCTGACGTGGATCAAGAGGCAGTTGTGCAAACAGAACAAGGGGACGCTGCCTGGTTCAAAACCAGGAAAGGTGTGTGTCAAAGATGATAACCTCTCACCACACTTATTCAATCTGTATGCTGAGCAAATTATCAGAGAAGCTGGCTTATATGAAGAAGAATTTGGCATCAGGATTGAAGGAAGACCTATTAACAATTTGAGAGATGCAGATGACACAACCTTGCTTGCTGAAAGTGAAGAGAACTTGAAGCACTTTCTGATGAAGATGAAGGTTTGCAGTCTTTATATGGATTACAATTCAATATAAAGAAAATAAGGTTGGTGTTTTCAATGATTTTTGTCTTGCTTAGATCCACAATCAATGCTATTGGAAGCAGCAGTCAAGAAATCAAAAAACAAATTGCGTTAGGTAAATCTTCTGCACAAAACCTTTTTAGAGTTTTGAAAAGCATGGGTGTTACTTTAAAGACTAAGGCGTGCATGACCCAAGCCTGGGCATTTCCAGTTGCCTCACATGCACGTGAAAGTTGGACATTGTATAAGGAAGTCCCTAGAAGAATAGACACATTTGAATTGTGGTATTGGAGAAGAATATTGCAAGTACCATGAACTGCTAAAAGGGCAAAGCAATGTGTCTTGGAAGATGCATGCCAGCGTACTTCTTAGAGGCGAGGATGGAGAGACTTAGTCTTCCATACCGTGGACATATCCAGAGACGCCAGTCCTTGAAGAAGGACATCATGCCTGGTAAATTGGAGTGGCAGCTACAAAGAAGATGGCCCTCAATGAGATGGATTGACATAGTGGCTGCAACAATGGGCTGAGGCATAGAACAATTGTGAAGATGGCACGTGGCTTTGCAGGGTTTCGTTGTGTTGTGCATAGGGTGGCTGTGGGTCAGAACTGACTCAGTGACACTGAACAGCAGCATGTGGCTTAGGAGCCCTCGTGGTGCAATGGCTAGCTATGAGCTGCTAACTGAGAGAATGGCCGTTCTAATGTCCAAGTGGTTTCCAGGGGAAGAGACCTGGGAATCTGCTCTTGTAAAGATTGCAGCTGATGAAGCCCTATAGGGCAGTCCTGTCATATGGGACGATATGAGCCAGAATTAACTTGACAATGAAAAGGTTTTTAAAAACTCCCTGCCATCCAGTTGATGTCAACTCCTAGAAACCTTATAGGGTCAGGGTAGAACTGCCCCTGTGAGTTTTTAAGACTGTAACTTTTTATGAGAATAGAAAGGCTCATTCTTTGCCCCAGAAGAGGCTGGTGGTTTTGAACTTCTGACCTTGTAGTTAGTAGCCCAATGCATAATCACTATACCACCCAGGCAATAGACAATAAAAATCATAGTATGTGATTTGGGACGCTTGTTTGTTTTTCTGGTTGCCCACTTTCCCATCTGTAAAATAGAAATGATCACTCATGCCCTGTCTTAATTGGAGGGTCACAATTACAGAGTCCTTATTGTTTGGGCTTCCCTGGATGGTGCCAAGAGTTAAGCATTGGGCTACTAATCCAGCAGTTGGTGGTCTGTTTTATCCTCAGCGGCACATTGGAAGGGAGGGGGCAGGGAGAGAGGCTGGTGATTTACTTCTGAAATTGAAACCATTGACAACCTTGCGAAGCACAGCTCTACTTTGACACCTACGGGGTCGTGCCATGTGCTGCAGTGCATCTTATGATAAACTGATTTGGTATGGGGGGTGGGTTGTTTGGGAAGCCCTTCTCTAAGTACTTGTCCTGCAATTGCTCTTGCGTTCCCTTGTCTGTTATGGGAGATGCTGTTAATATCCTTGCTTTATGGAAAAAGAAATGGAGGCAGTGAGACATTAAGTTACCGCACGAGGTCACGCCGGTAACCAGATCATGGACTTGAGCAGTCTGTGTGCCTTTTCTGACTCTCAAGACAATTTCAGGAAAAACAAATATAATACTTCATAGTAGGCATGGCAATCTGACCTGTTCTTTTCCCTTGACTCTCCTTACAGCAATGAAGAGCTATTTAAACTCTCATCCCTGGACATCACCCACGCTGCCTTGGTGAATGAATTTTGGCATTTCGGGGGCAATGAGAGAAGCCAGAGATTCATCGAGCGCTGCATCCGGACCTTCCCCACCTTCTGTCTGCTGGGGCCTGAGGGGACCCCTGTGAGCTGGTCCTTGATGGACCAGACTGGAGAGCTGAGGATGGGAGCTACTGTGCCCCAGTACCGGGCCCAGGGCCTCATCTCCCATCTTCTCTATTCCCATGTCCAGGCTCTGAACAAACTTGGCTTCCCCATGTATAACCACACGGACAGAGCCAACAAATTTGTACAGAAAATGAGTGAAAGTCTGCAGCTTGTCCGCCTGCCCTGTGACTGGAGCCAGTGGAACTGTGTGCCTCTGTGACACTGACCCTGACACCAGTCCGTGTAAAGGGGCCTGAGGATGTGACTGGAGAGAAAGAACACATTGTAATAAGAGGCTAAGCTACTGGATATCCTTTGGTGGCAGTAATATATTCATATAATAAAATGTTTTGCTGTTGACAAATTGATTCCGACTCATAGCAGCAGAGTTATGGCTAGGAACAGCAGAAGTATGCACTGCTGAGCCCTGGGCTAGCTTCACATTTAAGAACCAAAACTGCAGTCACTGCGTTCTTGAGTGTCTTCCTCTTTTTTTGCTGACCCTCTGCTTTATCAAGAGTGACGTTTTCTTTCACGGACTGATTTCTCCTGATAATTTGTCCAAAGTATGTGAGAGGGTCTCACCATCCCCTTATCTAAGGAGCATCCTGGCTGTACTTCTTCCAAGACATTTTTTGTTATTGTTCTGGCAGAACATGATATAGCCAATATTCTTCGCCAATACCATAATTCACATGCATCTGTTCTTCCTTGGTCTTCCTTACTCGTGGTCCGACTTTCAAATGCAAATGAACCAATTGAAAATACCAAAGCTTGGATCAGGCACAATTAGTGGTTTGACATCTTCATTCTGGAACCTTTTAAAGAGGTCTTATGCAGATTTCCCTAAGACTATATGTCCTTTGATTTCTCCACTGCTGCTTCCATGATTTTAAATAATTCCATATTTTCTTGTGCTGTTTGACGGACTGCCTCCTGGTCTCTGAATAGGTAAATGTATAATCTGAATTTTAGCGGTTACCAGGGACTTAGGGAGGGAGAAAGAATAACTGAGTTTGTTTCGGGTGGTGGAAAATTTAGCAATGGATATTGGTGTTGCATGTTTGGAAGCACGAGCATTTACTAACCTAGGCAGTTGGTACACACCCAGAAGTTCCACAGAAGAAAGCTCTGGGAACCAGTTTCTATAAAAGCTACTGCCAGGAAAATTCTATGCAGCAGGTCTGCTCTGTGAAGCATGGGTTACCATGAGTCAAGATCGACTCAGCCAACAGCAAGTGGTTATTTGGCGGAAATAGTTACACAATATCATTGATATTATGGGTGTCCTGAAAGATAAACTTGAAAAGTTTTGACATGGTAAATGTTGTGTTAATAAAAATTTTCAAACGTAACTCTCCAAAAGGTTATTAGAAAGTGATGCCAATAATATACATTTCATAGCATGTGGGGTCTTAAAGTCTCGTTTCAGAACAAGCAGCCATCTGAGATGTCAGTAAGTGTGCATGGAGGAAACGCTCCAACATCAGTGTCCAAAGGATGGCAAAGCATAGAATTCAAAGCCCAAGGAGGAAGTCGTATCAGAGCCCAAATTCTGAGACTCTGGTTTGCAGAAGACTACGGATAACAGTGGGGGCCCAAGATAATTTGGGAGATCTATTCGGGAAATAAGCCTCTGGCGATTTCTCATGTACATAATGGAGGGATGAGAATAAACTGGTTACAAAACAATGAATTGGCGAGATGACTATAGGAGATCGAAATGATAAACCTGACATGAACAGTTAAAACCTTGTCAATTGATCCCCCGCTCCATTCCCACCCCACCCCCCACTTGTTGGGACTAATCAGGTCTTCAACATTTTTGTGTGTTTTTTCCTTCTGGTTTTCTTCATCTTGGGGTTTAGTGCTGATGTATTTTGTCATTGGGGATAGCCCTCTTGAATTTTTCTTGTATGTCTTTTCTGCTTTTTGATATAGAGATTTAAAACCCAGGCTTGATGAGCCTACAGAGACCGCAAACACAATCACGGTTCCTGGTGGGTGCAGTGTGGGGAGAAGGGGAGCTGATCTCAAGGAGTTTAAGAAGGAAGAGAATGTTTTGAAACTGATTGTGGTAGCAAGTGTACAATACTGCTTGATGTGATTGAACTATGGAATGATATATCTGCATTACCTCCCCCCAAAGTTAGAAAATAACATACATTTGAAAAAAGGTCATTGTGTTTTCTTCATTGATTTTAATGAATCTTTTCTTTCTCCAATAATAACAGGAAATATGTCTTATGAAGGGGCTGCTTTCCTTGTGACGCTTTCTCTGTATATAACCTGTAAAAACTTCTGGATTATTCCTTGTCAGGTACCTGAAAGTCAGTTACAACTCATTGTGACTGTACAGACAACAAAAGGATACACTGCCCACCCTCTGCCATCCTCACAATTGCTCTTGTGTTTGCACCCATGTGTTGCAGTCACCAACTCAATCCCTCTTGTTGAGGGGTTTCCTCTTTTTCACTTCCCTTCTACTGTACCGAGCATGATGTCCTTTTCCAGGCCTGAGGACATGCCCAAGGAAGCTTTGAAGGAGGAGGAAAGAAAATTTAACCATAGAATCATTCAATATTGCATCTGAAGGCTTGCATTTGTTGTTGTTCTTCCCTTCTGGTTTGCTGATCTCAATGTCTTTGCCCATTGTCTTATAGCACTTTATCTTCTCCAGCTGTTCTTTGAACTCTGTTGTTCAACTCTTTTATTTCATCGTTTCCTCCATTTGCTTTAATTACATCCACGAGCAAGTTGCAGAGTCTATGCTGATATCCACTCTGACCTTTTCTTTCTTCCCATTGTGGTAGTTACATAATTTTGTGTGAACTTGAAGATACAAAAATTAGGGGTGGAGTCTAGCCTATCAATGGTTTGGAATAAACTGCCCCACTTGCTTTGGAAATGTTATCAGAAGGGACCAATCCTTGAAAAAGGATATCACATTTAGAAAGTAGGGAGTCAATAAAAAACAATAAGCCCCTTAATGAGATGGATTGACACAGTGGCTGCAACAATAGCAACAATTGTGAAGGTCACCCAGGACTGAGAATGTTTTCTCTGTGGTTATGCATGGTGTAGCTATGGGGCAGAACTGACTGGATGATACCTAATGACAAATATATTCAAGGGTCTGCATGTAGCACAGTTGTGCTCACCTACAAACTTGACGGAGTCCTGGCGGAGCCACTGTCAGGTAAACACTGGACTGCTTAACTCTCAGATGGGATATCTGCTCCCCTGAAGGTTACAGCTTAGAAGCTGTAGGAACAGAGGGCTTTGATGTGCTATGGTTCTCTTATTAAACTGAAGTTTAATTGACTTGATGGTAGCTGGTGGTAGAGCATAGGGTTGTGAGGCCATAAATATTTTTAGGGGAGGATAAGCTCATCTTTGTCCTGAGGAGTGACTGGTGGGTTCAAACCTCTGGCCTGGTGGTAAGCAACCCACCATTTAACCCACTGCATCTCCAGGGCATGTCCTATAAAGAATACAACCAAGAACCCTACAAGACAGCTCTGTGCTGTAGCACATGAGCAGCCGTGAGTCAGAGTCAACAACACTACAACAGGGTTTGGTTTGAGTGCTGTTGAGCACAACGTGGCTGTTAAAAGCCACCCAGAATTGTGTTAGACAGGAGGACTGATAACCTGCTTCTGAAAGATCATGGCCATGAAATACTGTGAAGCACAGTTCTACCCCAAACACACGGGGCTGCCATGAGCTGGACTCAATGGTAAATGGTCTTGATTAAGAAGATCTAAAATGATAAGCAATTGATTTGGGGTATTTCATAAGGCGTTTGGGGCTGTCACAAACGATGGTGTCGTGTTATTGTAGTCTTACTTAAATTAGAAAACACCGATTAACCCAGGTGATATGGTCTCTATTCTTCAAATGGATATATTTCACGAGGAGAAGGAAAAATCAATAGATTGTTGCACTTCTCCGCCTCCTAACCAATGGCTGGAGGGTAGACAAGTCTTAACTTAGATAAAGGGAAAGATGATATACAGTAAGATGGGGGTTGGGAAAAAATGACGGAGGTAGGAAAAGACACTGCCAGGTTCCCAAGAGTTAAAGGCCACAGAAATAAATACAGTTCTATACACAATCCTGTAAGAGCTATCATCTACATCATCAATCATGTACTAACCATTATCTTTCTGCTTGCACTAACAAGCTGAGCAGGTATGAGGGGAAGCTTGAGAGTATAACCATGAATGTATATATAGGTTTGACAGATCATATTTCTATATATGTATTTGCCTTTGCTGTAAATATGTCCATGAGTGTGATGGAGCATGCAGGTGAAAAAGTTATAAAAACATTTGAGACATAACCAAACATCTTGAGGGGATGAGTCATAGTTCACAAAGACAGTGTTCTACATAAATGCAGAAGCATGGCGGGGGTGGGGGGGATGGGGAAAATAGGCTAACTGATTGGCTATGGTCTATGAGAACCCATAGTGCACCACCAGTCTACGTTATGGTCCAGCATTGAACTCAGTCCCATGGCTCAATTATCAGCCAAACAATAGACAGGTTATAAGAGGAGCAATAACAGTAGTGTGGTAGGCACACCTTAGCATGCTCAACCATTTAAAACCAAAAGAGCAGAGACGTAGACAAAGCAGAGGGTTAGGAAAGGAGGAGTGCAAACAGGAAACTCAGGGAGGAAGTGGGCGGGATGACGAGGGGAGAGCAATGTATTTGTGAAACAACATGTGCACGAATTGTTGAATGTACAACTGATGATCGGTTCTGCAAATCTTCAGCTCATTCATAATAAAAAGCTTTTTTAAAAACTATTTCAGATTAAGATGAATAAAATATGATGGCTAAATGCACTGTATGATCTGCAATTAATCCTACATAAGAAAAAAATTCTATAAGAAATGCTTGGGGATGGTCAAAAATTCCCAATATTTATGATTGGCAAAAGGTGAATATGAACTGAATATTTGCTAATATAATACATTAATTTTTAATTCTTTTCATTTCATAATAGTATTATGGTTATTTTGAGAGCATTCTTTTACATAGAATACACAGACTAAAATATTTACAGGAAAGTAAATATTTGTTATTTAGTTTCAAAAGATTTAAGAAAAACTATTTAAAATAATTGCACATGTATATAAAGCATGTATGCCTAAATGTTAGTAATGAACAAATCTACATAAAATATAGACACGTTCTCATCATCACAGTATTGTAACTTTTTGGTAGGTTGTAATTTTATTTTCTTGCATATGTCTACTTAAGAGAATGATCATAATCAATGAAGACTAAACACAACCAATTATTCTAATAGTTCCACTTTTTCTTGTCTTAATTAGCACCCTATTTATCTTTATATACAGTCTGTACATGGAATACAGTACAAGATAATTTAAATAACTTCAAGTCCCAGTAACAGGAAAATTAAAATCTGAAAACCAAGAAGCACTATATATGCAAAAACTAGACAATGACGGAATAAGTTTGCATAGCAAGACTAGGTATGTAAGGAAAACATTTTCAAAACAAGTCTAAATTGTGAACTTTGGACTATGGAATGATATGATATCT